CACGAAAGCCAAGAAAGCCAAAAGCCACAGAAGCCACGAAAGCCACCAAAGCCAAAAGCCACACTAGCCACGGAAGCCACAAAAGGCACGGAAGCCACAAAAGCCACGAGAAACACAAAATCCTAAAACAAACCCATCCTAAATTAACAAGTGCCACGCTAGTAGAAACAAGTGCATCGCTAGTAGTAACAAGTGCCTTACTAGTAGTAACAAGATACCCTCGGACATCGGAAGAAAGACATGTTTAGGGAAACCTAGTATCAAGTGCCTTATTAGTAGTAACAAGAAGCTATTAATATAAATTTAAGTTAATTCTAATAGCTTTTTGTTACTACTAGTAAGGCACTTGTTACTACTAGCGTGGCACTTGTTACTAGTAGTAAATGGACCTCCGATGTTTAGGGAAATCTAGTATCCTGTTCCATTTTCAAGGCCATCTAAGTCAGAAGACGCCGGAGGCCGGCGTAAATTTGGTGTGAAACATGTAAGTCGTGCCAAATCAGCGACTGCCAAAAGGACTTTCCAAACATTTGCTGCAATATTTGGAGGAGAACTATTCAGAATGCACATCACACTACATGCGGTTTATCCTAACTAAAGTTCAGCCTTTAAAGTACGAAGCGGAAACAGAATAGCTATATAAATGCGAAACAATTGCTACTTCAAATAGCCTGGGATTGTCCAACCGTATTTTTTATGTTACAAAAACGTGCGGGGAGATTGAGACAACCTCACGCAGAACAAGTGTTGGGGTTCATTGGCCAACGCCAATCAGCTCTCAAGAAAGACAATTCCCAGCAACATACCTGTGCTCCTTGCAGCCCTTAAATCCATCGATATGATATCATTGATATCCATTCTGAATAATTACGGTTGCGAGATACATAAGTAAATGCACACTGCACTACCATTGCACGTGCACAACAAGCGCGACTCAATTCACAGTTTACTTGCATTTTCTGGATGTTGCCCAGGGCGGTTGACCGGGTGTGTTTTGACACGCAACCAGTCAAGGGAGTCAAGTGAGCAGCTGAAGGGCTGAAACATGATGAAAATTTTGTCTTGCAAAGGTTGGAAAAGTGTGAAACCAGACATTGCAAGGATACTCCCTGAAACTACGTCCATGTCTATGTTTTTTGTTTCTAGACGGGGACCTTTTCCAAACGTCCATGCAAGTTGTTGGGCAAACATCAATGATCCAGCAATTGTGAAGTAAGTGATCGCCGAAAGCCTGCCCATTTGACTCAAAATCCCAGCAATCCACGGTCAAGTTTGCTTCTGGACAGCCGGGTCGTACCTATCTCCAGTGTCTCATAGCAAGAAACTTAACACTACCAGAAGGATTGTGACCCAGGAACCAAATTCCCCAAGTGCTGGGAACGGTGGTTGCACATAATATCATATCATATATCAACCAATTTGGTTTGATGTTTGGATACCTTCTGGTGGCGGGAACGAAACCGAGAGCATGTTGCCGGACTAAACTATGCCGAATATCTTTCCAATGATGCGCATGCCCTTTGCAGTGATGTATCAATTCGATACTTTGAAACTACGTATCAAGTCAAAACGAAAACCCTTCGTTTAAACCCCCCCCGTGTCAAACGAGAACTTCAGCAAACCTCTTTGGGAGATTGCTTTCGTGACGATTTTTTGTTAGCGCTCCCTTGTGAGTGCCTTTCGGTTGGTCAAGAAAACTCCCCTAATTCAAGGTTTGTTGATACGAACTGTCCGATGTCGCGATGCGTGCAAAATGTGCCTCTGGTCGGAAGTGCTCCATGAGGCTCCACAGCGCTTTCTCTTGGGTGAGGTCACAAGCTATGATTCGTGGAGGCAAAGCTCTGCGTTTGCACACTCCAAGGACCTTCCACCCAGTCAGAGCGCCAAGCCAAATAACTTTCAAAATATTGCAAAATGCAACGTAGGGAACTGATAACAATCATCAAGTTCAAAAATTCATTCTGTAAAGCAGCGCGAACGCTCTTTCCTCAAGGCAATTGGGCCTAAATGCCCGGTTTGGGTTGCACACGTCATGCCAAGATGACTGACCTTCATGCTACCTCTGACCTCTGACTAAGTTGGAACACGGCCCCCTCATCACGGCAATTTCCGGCAAAAACAGACATGCCCATGAAAATGCCAGCGCCGGCCTAGCATTTTCGCTTCAGCCCTGCATAGCCGGTAAGTACTCGTCTCTTTGTTGGTGAGCTGCTTACATCTCTTCGGTTCCAAGCGGTTCTTTCTGCATGTTGTTCATCTGTTCTTGCATCTCTGCCATTTCATCTTCCTACCCTTGCCATATGTGTGAGCGTGAGTCAAGCCACTCTGTTGCTTGCGTTTGTTGATCGCACGGTCTGCTCGTTCATCTCGGTCACATTGTTCTGCGTGTAATAACCGGTCATGCCCTAGAGGCCCTCAATCAGAATGACCCGAAGCCAGCGCAAAGCGCTCAAGGCCCCAATCAAGGCGCACAGGACCAACGCCATCCTGCCATCGTTCGAACTCATGCCAGCCATCAGAAGCAGCAAGCCAATCCTGACATTTTTTGTCTTCATCATCTTCTTGTTTTGATCTGGTACTGGAGCTCAAGGTCTTGGAACTCCTCTCAAACCCCTCTGTCTCCGATGGCATTCAAAGTCACAGCCTTCATCCTGTAGAGCAGGCCCAACAACCTCTTCCTTGCAAGACTCTTTGCGCCAATGTCAGCACAGTTGAGCTCTGATGGTAGCTGCTGCGCCAACGGCCTTCACCCTTTCTGTTGCACCCATACCAAAGACAGCTAAGAAGCATCTAAGCTATAGGCGCCTCGCTCGACACGTTGCGCCATGAGTCAGGCAGTGGCACTGTCCGTCTGTCGCGACCTTCGTCGCGCAGCACCCACCTGTCAACTTGTTCAGCAGATGAAGAAAGAGCTATCGGTTTCTGGCTCCTCTCTCTGCTTTCGAGCAGATTCTTGCCGAATGACGTAGCGCGCTTTCTGTTGCCAGCGTAATCCGCGTCTGTCAGCACCTCCAGTCTTCTTCGCGTCTAAGACGGACCTTCCCTGCCCTCTTCTTGTCATCCTCAACCAAAGTCAACGGCGTCGTACAGGTGTGAGTCATACGGCATGAGCATTGGCGCCACGCATTCTTCCATGCCTGCTTTGTCGGCGCAGGCATCTTTCTTGCCAAACTTTGAATGGCAAATTGCGTGTCCGGCGTGAGCCGTCCAACCACATGTCTGATTCTTTTTATCTCTTCTCCTTCTAGGAGTGGTGAAATGTCCTGTTTTAAAGCTCTGACCTATTGGTGCCTTCGTGTACAAATTTTGCAAAACAAGTCGAGCTTCTCCAAGCCATAGTATTGTTTTCTGTCACACCTGATGTTGCAACGCTCGCTTGCCAGCTTGGACTGCCTCTTCAGATACAGGAATTTGTGACCCTTCACCTCCATGTTCCATTTCTTCTTTTCACTTAGGAACATCACGAACTCCTCAAAGATCTGGGGCGCTCAAATCCAACCATGAAGACATCATCCACGCGCACCGCCAGGTACATGTTGCAATACCGCACCATCATACTCATCATCATCATCTTCTTCTTCTTCAGCAGGTCTCGTTCCACACTGAACTCCTTGCGTGCTCATCTGGAACCACTGCGAAGCTGCCTCAGCAATCGAAACACCTTCTCTTTAATCTTCACGTAGGCTCTCTCTTCACAAGGTTGATCTGCCATGAGGAAGGCCTTGTTTGATTCAAAGATGTTCGAGCATATGCTAAGAAGCAAACGCATCGTCATCTTGAAGATAATCCTGTCTGAGAGATGTTGGAGCGAAAGTTTGATCCATCTCCACGCTTCCTCGAAACTGTCTGGCAACTAGTCTTGCCTGCAAAACTAGCCTCCTTGCTCTAAACGGTGCCACGTGTACACCATCTTCCGCTGATCGCATAGCCAGCCTTCGCATTCCTCCTCTTGCGTCGATTCTGCCATTGCTGAAACGTTGGTCTCGCTCTGGCTAGCTTCTTTGTCCAGGGCCTCCAAATCTTTTGGTGGGTCACCATCTTCATCTCCTCCATGCATCTCTTGGTTTGTCTCATCAAGGGCGTGCTCCAAACCAGTCTTCTCGTCTCCACGAACCTCAATGCTCTGGACCCCTAGTGTGGTGGATAAAGTCTTGGCATCTTTCCACCAGGTGATCCTTCTGTCTCCTCCTGTCTCATGGGCTCTCTGCGTCCATGTCCTCGCCTCCTTCTCTGCATCCTCTGTAGGCACTTCTGCTCACGCTTGTTTGCAATCTTGCTTGGTGATTCTGTTGCATCTTGTCTCTTCTTCTCTCTGTCTTCATCCTCACCTTCTTCATGATGCCTCTTGACAGCTGGCGTTGGGTGCAGGGGCTCTACTCGTGGCTGGTGGCCAGCTTGCAGCTCGTTCTGCCAACTCCTTCAAGTACACGGTAACGGTCGATGAGGAAAGCTGCGCTTGAAGGACCATGGATAGATCGTGTCCTGTTCGACAACAAGTAGTTGGGCAACCGACGACGTGTTTACACAGCTCTCTCAACCAAGCATTGGGCGCACGCTGTCCTGCTCCTGTCAGCCTCAACTCTGTCTTCATCCCCATCACCTTTCTCACATGCTTGCTGAACTGATCGTAAAACATCTGGCAGGCTGCCCGCTCCAAATCGGCCTCAGATATACACCTGTCTCCCCCCAGCAATTTCCGTGGCAAACCTGCTGACTTTTCTACGGTCTGCTTTGGACTGGCCATGGACTGGCGCGACGTGCGTCGCTTTCGTCTCTAGAGATTTCAAGCGCATGGACCAGGCCTGCGTTGCTTGTGTCACCGTCAATCTCTCCAACACCATTGAAAAATCATCCTCAAGCTTTCCTCGCTCCAGCCAGCCTCCTCCTCCTTTCCGTCCTGTCCTGAGTCACAAAATCTGTCTCCCTGATCGAATCTTCTTCTTGAGACTTGCTAGGCACTACCACAACGACCTCACGAACAGGTCTGCTTCCAAAGAGCCATCCGCGCGAAACGCGTGGCGCCTAGCTGTCCCCGCCTCTTACATACGTGGCTCCGCGACCACGCAACGCAGCGCGAACGCTCGGGCTTTGCTCAAGGCAATGATGACTGACCCTCATGCTGTCTCTGACCTCTCACTAAGTTTGAATATGTTCGCTTCACGTCCAGGCCCCTCTTCCGCGCCTCCCAGGTGTTACCAAGGCCTTGCATGACTTGACGCCCAAGCAAGCCCGTGGCGCCGGTCACCAAGATTCGATGCCTAACGTGAAAGAAACGCAGTTCCAAAAACAGGAAGAACTCCGCAAAAAACACACAGAAAAGGGCGCAACTCTGAAGCCAGAATGGCCCCTTCTTTTTTGTATCACCCTCCGCAAGAAAAAGTATTGCGTTACTCCAAACTGGCACCTTGATGCAGTGTGATCTGATGCTCCACAGCTGGCACTGGACCGCAAAGAGCCTGTTGAATCAGCAACTGGAAGTACAAAGCTATCTCGAAAGTAACTGAGTGGATACCGCCCCAGGTAATGTAGGTCATTTGACAAATATCTCAGTACCGAGTAAAGAAGGGAAAGAAACATGAAAGGGGAGAAAAGGTGAAAATAAGGAGAATAATGCGAAAACTTGGGGCGCTCGGTAATCTATCTTGCTGCTGCTCTTACTACTACTAATATAAAGAAATCATCGAAAAAGTACTACTACTACTACTACTACTACTCCTGCTGCTACTACTACTACTACGGCGGCGGCGGCAGCGGCGGCTGCGGCGATGGCGATGGCGACGGCGATGGCGATGGCGATGACGACTACCACTAAACCATACTAAACCATTACCGCTACGACTACCACTACCACTACCACTCTACCAATACCACTACCACTACTACTGCCACTACGACTACTACTGCTGCTCGTTCATGCGGCGCGCTTTGTTCATCTGTTTCCCGGGGACGTTGCGAAGGGTTCTTCTGTGGAGATATGTTGCGTTAGACATCTGCGGCAACACGTTTGGGATCCTGCTGTATACGTATGCTTTAAGTACATCCGCAGCTTGCATGCGTGGTCCTCTAGAGCTGCTGCTACGGAAGTGGTATTATACCACATTTACGACGTATATAGCGGCAGTTGTATGTGTGCTACAACAGCTATGCTACAAGTACCTCTGCAGCTTGCAGGTATGTAGAGTTGCTGCTGCGCTAGCATTGCTTTGGTTTTGGGTTAATTGCTTTGGTGGACTGCTTTGGTGCTGGGGATCTTGCTTGGGTGAATTGCTTCGGTTGTGGGATCTTGATAACTGTCGCTGGGATCTTGCTTAAGTAAAGTCATCTGCAAAGTCAAATATATAACCATCGCTGGGGTCTTGCTTAAGCAAAGTCATATGCAAAAACACTGGGGTCTTGCTTCAGTAAACACGTAGTTACGCAAAAGCTGCAAGAATTTACATAGAGTGAAACATATGTTTCTTCGGGCGGCGGTCTGGTCAAACAGGGCTTGCGCACCGTGACCTTCTGCGGAGATTGTGTGTGTGTGCGTCGAGTGCTCAACCGTGAGGCGACGCGCGAATTCCGGCTGTGCTGGACGACGACGACGACGACCACCACCACCACCACCACCACCGCGACGACCAGGACGACCACGACGACCGCGACCACTACCACTACCAGGTACTACCACTACCACGTACTACGGCTACCACTACGACTACTACCACTACTACCACTACCACTACCACTACCACTACTACTACCACTACCACTACCACTACTACTACTACCACCACTACTACTACTACTACTACTCTACTGCTACTGCTACTGCTACTGCTACTCCTACTACTACTACTACTATTACTACTACTACTACGACGACGACTACTACTACTACTACTTTTACTTTCCACTACCACCAACTGCCAACTGCCACTACCACCACTGTAGCGCTACGGCTAGGTAGGAGAACCTTCTTGGTGGGGCTGTCTCTATTCACTCTTTTTGGTGGCGAGGACTTTGGATTAAGATTCAACACTACTTGCATTGATCAAGGCAAAGACAGAATATTAGAGAGTATGTGCAATCCGGGTCGCGATTCACGGCGGCCACTCAGCCACACTCAGCCACTCAAGATCCTGAGCGGCTGTGTGGCTGAGTGGCTGACACGAAGAAAGCCTGAGTGGCTGAGTGGCTGTGTGGCTGACAGGAAGAAAAGCCTGAGTGGTTGAGTGGCCTAGTGGCTGACAGAGTGGCTGAGTGGCTGAGACGAAGACAAGCCTGAGTGGCTGACAGGAAGAAAAGTCTGAGTGGTTGAGTGGCTGATTGGAAGAAAAGCCTGAGGGGCTGACAGGAAGGAAAGCCTGAGTAGCTGAGTGGCTGGCGCCGAGTGGCTGGGTTTTTATCATTTATTTAATCCCATAAGCTGGACTGAAAAATAGATTAATGGTGGAGATTTCCTGGTAACTTTATGGTCTAAGAAATAATAGAAATTAATGAGGGATGGTGGTAGTAGTAGTAGTAGTGGTAGTGGTAGTGGTAGTGGTGGTAGTAGTAGTAGTGGTAGTGGTAGTGGTGGTAGTGGTGGTAGTGGTGGTAGTGGTAGTAGTGGTAGTAGTGGTAGTAGTGGTAGTAGTGGTAGTAGTGGTAGTAGTAGTAGTAGTGGTGGTAGTAGTAGTAGAAGTAGTAGTAGGGCGGCAGCAGTAGGAGTAGGAGAAGGAGTAGGAGTAGCAGCAGGAGCAGTGGCAGTAGTTTTTTGTTGTGGGAGTGGTCGGAGCAGTGGAAGTGGTAGTAGTCGTAGTGGTAGTTATAGTAGCAATGGCAGTAGCAGTAGTCACTGTAGGAGGAGGAGGTCCAAAGCTAGCTGAAGCGCACCGGAGGTGTTTGTTTCCACGCAGCAATCGTTGAACTCGTGTACCCACACGGAAAGCCAGGGTTCGAGCTGGATTTCCATGGCGCTCAACCGGGTTTAGAGGTGGAAAGTATAGTATTCAGAAGAGAAATGACTGTGGAAATCCTCCGTTTCTGAAACAGATCCTGCTGCTGTCGTGAGCTGCAGCGCACGAATGATGGTGACGCGCACGCTAACAGCACTGGGCTGATTGCTCCTTGGAGCATCGGGCCTAAAGTGTTCTTGGGATGTAAAGTAACAGTTGTCAGCAGCTCTTTCGCGTAATGAGGATCGGCAAGGCTTTGGCTGCAAAGCACAAGCGCCAACATAGAGCTACGGAGCCCTCACGGGGGAGTCGCATGTGCAGTGCCTGGAACATCCCTACATCCTAACATCCACCCGGACATGTTAGCAGACACTCGCGTACTTAAGCACGAACATACAAGGAATAGAGTGTCTTGATGGAATAGCTGGTTTATTGTTATGGCAAGTCTGGAGGGTAAAATTTACCTCCCACTTTTGTACGCATTGGGACAAAAATAAGGGTAAACATTTGTGTATACAAAACTGTTAGAGAAAGAGGGTGCTTTAGCCAAAGGAGACAGACTTCAGTTTTTGTGTCGGCTTTGACTCCAATACAAGTAGAACAGCTGTCCAATTCTACAAGTACGGATCAGATACTATTGTCGGTAGCAACCGGAATCGTACTGTCCACACGCTCTTTTCGCTTCGATGCGAGCACGGCATAGCTCAAGGGCCCTAGGAGCCAAACGGCGGCAGACACAACATAGTGTGACAACCTGGCTCAACAGAGAGCGATCCTACCTCAAATTCACACTCAACCTGTTCTACGGGTGTCACACGGCTATACATTGAAACACTTGTGTCTTCCTAAGGCATTGGAGAAATCTACTTCTGCTTCTGTACAGTGTAAAGGCACTCTCTCAGCGCTCGAAGTAGCAAATCTGGCTTCATGGACTTCGTCAAACAGTCCGACACCATGGTACTGGTGGCAATCCAGATCAGCTTGTCTCCTTCGTCCTTGAAGGCAATCCATGTTGGTCTTCCTTCTTGCCACAAATTCTCATGGATTCCTTGCAACTCGATACCAAGGCGCTTGTCACTCACCTTGGCCAGGACTTCCTGATTGAGGTGGTCAGAAAGCAAACGGCAATCAGTCATTGCCAAATGCGGAATGCATTCACGGGCATCATCTTCCCATGTCTTCAAACAGCGAATCTTACCCTTGATCTCCGCAATCACACCTCTCAGCTTATCACCTGTCTCGAGTCCGTTGTGGAGGGAATACGTCTCGACCTGGGGAGTGCTGCGGCAGACTCTCTTAGTTGCCTTGTAGGTGGTCGTCTTGTCATCCTTGATCTCCTTGAGATCTCCCAGAAAAGGATCCTGCCCTGCTGCGACTTGTAGTTCTTCTCATTGGAGAAGGAGGCATCTGTGACCGTGATCACACCAACTTCACTCCATTGAAGATGAGCCGCGGGAAAACACAATGCCACATCGTGACCCTTGCGACTGCATTAGCGTCTGCCAACGTGGACACTGTTGCATCCTTAATGCTAGACTGCAAACGGCTTACTCTGTAGCCGAGGTCAGGCCTGGTCTGTCTCGAGATCCAGGCAAGCGATCCGGCGATCGACCTGAGCTTCGTGATGTCTCCTTGCTGGAGTCGCTCACTGCCTAGCCTAGAACCAACGTCTGCTCCATGAATCTTCCTAGTGTTATCGGCTGCGTCGACTTTGATGACCTTGTCATCTCCCCGCACAAACTGCTTCCCACAGTATCGAAAACGGTTAGTGTCTGAACTGCCGACACTGAACTTGGCAAGAAAAGACTTCATTACTTCCTCGCCTTCCGGAAGAAAACTATAGAGCAAATCGTCCACGTGAGTGCACATGAGGGCGTAAGCGTCTCCTCCCTGCTCACCTGGGAGATAGTACTCTGGGAAAAACTGGCTCGCCTTCAGACCACTCTTACGTGCATCGGCATCCAAACGCAACCAAAAGCCTCTTCCTGACGCATATATAAGAAGGACGCGATCCAGAGGTCGTCCTTGGAAATATGCCGAGGTGATATCAGCGGAATGGATGTCGGCCTGATGACATGCTGCCCAACTGCAGACGAGACAATGCATCTCGACATCGGCCGTTGGACTGTCTGACCTCAAACCCTCTGTCACTTCGAAGTTTCCGCGCGAAACTAGCCTGCTTTTATACTGGGGCCTGGGGCTTGTAGTCAGGGTCTCTCCCTTGCTTGCACTGCGCTTTATCTACATCCACCCATTTAGATGGAATGCATTGGTGCCCTTCATCAATGAGTTCTTGCGCTTGTTCTGGAGTTAGCGCCACAACAGCTCCAAACTCCTCAAACTTGGCCCATTCCTTTCCTCTTGATTCCTGCAAAGCTCTCTGCACTTCTGGGGGTGCAGATTCATAGTGGATGCTCTTCAGGACTTTCTTACCTAGATCTACTTCTTCCTCCGTCTGGGCAAGAAACTGGTCTACATGGCATGCGCGTCGTCTCGAGCTTGCTCTGTCTGTTCTCTGTCTCTCTGACGAGCTCTCT